GCAGCCGCTCACCAGAGGAGGCGGCGGCAACGGAAGAGCGGAGGAGGCGGCAAGCCGACGGCGGGGAATAAAATAATGGTGGTGGGGTAGGGTTTTTATAAAAACTGTAAGAGACGACCATCTACCACGTGTTTTGTTTCTAGACGTGGTCGTCTCTTAAGAGACCATCCTTTGATTTTTTAAAACAACCATATTTTTAAAAAAAGTTTCATTAACTGTCCTATTTCAAATATTTTTAATTAAATAACAATATTTTTAAAATAAATTTAATATATAATAATATTAAAAAAAAAAATCCACACCTAAACGGACGCCCCAACTTAAGAGCCTCCTTAGAAAGACTCTGGGCTGCAAATGAATGATGTAACAAATGATTTTGTTTTTATTATTTGATTTTTAGGTCAATGAAACAAAAAGAAAGACCGCTTTAAAAACCAAGTACAGGTTTATAGATTTCTTTAAATAAAAATTTTAACTGTATTTTATATTCTATCTGGAAGTTTTATCTCTTTTATTTGAAGTTTATCAAATTCAAATTAGTCAAAATGTGACGTCTCAATCATATCCGACGGTGGTGATTTAACGATGACAATTCCTCCTGCTCAGAAGTTGACCATGACCAATATCTCGCGGTAACTTCCATTTCACAGAAAATCAGTTTCCTTCATTTTCATCTTCGTCTTCCAACTCTGCAACGAACTGGAAAGAATTTGGTTTCTCGTTTGCAACTGTGTTTTGTCGAGATTTCATCGCGTACTTCGATCATTTTGATTCCTGTACTTGTTATGGAATTTCGTGAGAAACGAGGAGAGGAATTCAATGCGTCATCGTCATCGTTTTCGTCGTCTTACTTCATGCCAGATTCATCGCCAGCTGATTCCGTATTACTTCTATGATTCGGTTTCGGTTCTGATACCGCCATCGCTGGAGATACTCGAGGTTCGTTAAGCTTATGTGATCAAGTTGAGTAGTACGCGTTCAGTTCAGCTAGTTCAATCTCCGCTTATTTATTTTCTCAATTTTTCTTCCTGCTCTCTAGCTCCGTGGAGTTTCCTACTTATTTTATATAGGAATCGGTTTGTATGTTGGTGTACATTTGGTTCTGTTTCCTTGATTTTGAGATTCCTGAAGTGTCAGAATCAGAAGTATGATCGATAATGCAATGCTTTCTATGAATCACAACTTTTAACATTTAGGACTGGAAAAATAAATGAAAGACAGAGACGTACACGAGTACTTAGCTAACATATGTTACTTGAAATTGTTGTTAGCTTCCTACATTATTAGTTGATTATGGTTCATAGACCTATCATCTGTTGAGCTAAGTTGTGCAATTTTGAGATTACCACCTACTTTGAAGTTCAGATTATTAGTTTTTAATTATTGTTATAGTGGAAAAGAGTACATGTCCAAGCTGTTCCTTCCGGATTCAGCTTCACTCTAATCAATTGATTCAATAATTCCTGGTCTTTTACTTTTAGGTTTTTGAATTGTTTATTTGACAGAGTATATGTTTTTGGTTGTATATTGCATCAGTTCTGCCTCCGGGATCTTAGTACCTTTGGTGGTGATTCAATGTAAAAAGATAATTAGATTGCAATTTGGTGAAAATGGCAAAGATCATTCGGCGTGTTGCTTCAGGCCTTCCATGTTTGAAATCTGACCAAAAGAAACTGTAAGTGGTCCTCTTCAGGAAGCCAATATACATATTATTCTAAACTTTCTTTGCAACCGAAGAAAAAGGTCATCAAAGTGCTAAACTTCTCACATTTATTTGAAGTTTCATCAGAATAAACTTAATTATTTTTTTTTTTATGTGAAGGGTCATGGGTAGTGCACCAGCGAAGAAATATCCTGCGAACTCAAAAGATTATAAGTTATACGAAGAAGTTGGTGAGGGTGTTAGTGCAACCGTGTATAGGGCTCTTTGTGTCCCATTAAATGAGATTGTTGCTGTTAAGGTTCTTGACTTGGAGAGGTGCAATAATGACCTGGTTCGTGCACTGATCTTGCGCTGTCTTATCAATTTCACACTGCTCTCGCTATCTGATTGCTACTACTTGACAACTAAATTTGTCTCCTCTTTTGCCTTCTCTTTAAACCATTAAAAGAAGAACATATATGGTTGGATGTAAATTTCTTAAAAGAGAAAAGTAATATAGTGTCATTTTTGACCGAATTTGATCTTGCCAATTAGTTTTAGACCAAAGAATTTTGTTTTCTCTTCACCATGGACATTTCAGGAAGGCCTCTATAATGAAATCATTTGGAGGGTTTTCCCCATGTTTTTATGATTTATGAATATTTCTTCCATACTTCAAATATGCCAGCACAGAACTGTGGTGTTTATTTTGCTTGTTTACTGATACGTATTGTTAGGGTAGACTTTAATCCAAGTATATTATTTTAATCCAAGCTCATATTACTCCTAGAAAATATTGTCCTATTATTTAGCTATAATTATTCATTATTTCTTATTTCTTATTACACAGGAAGGTACCCGTCGAGAGGTAAACACAATGTCCTTGGTTAATCATACCAACATATTGCGAGCACATTGTTCTTTCACAACTGGTTACAACCTTTGGATAGTGATGCCATACATGGGTGGAGGATCATGCCTTCATATAATGAAATTGGCCCATCCTGAAGGTCTCGAAGAGCCTGTTATTGCTATTTTGTTGCTTGAGGTTCTCAAAGCTCTTGTTTACCTCCACTCCCAAGGTCACATTCATAGAGATGTGAAGGTATGGCTACAACTTCCATAATTTGATAGGAGAACATGTAGCATTCTGTAAAAAGGATATGACATTTAATATGGGTGACCAAAGTCTCGAGAGAACTTGGTCTTTCATTTGGTCACACAAAAGTTATTTTACATTGTTTCAGACGTACGTAATCATTGCTCTGCTTAGTAGAGCTGCCTCTTGTACCTCTGTACTGAAAAGTCATGTTGGTGTTAGGAATTGGTATTATGCATGTGGCACTTATTCCTTCTTTATTTGACCTCTGTAAGGGTTCAAGTTGAACTGCATACAACCAATGAAGGTATTTTAATTTTATCACAGATAGTTGGACAGAAAATTCCATGGCTATATATGTAATTTGCAAAGGTTCAGTGCTCAAGTTTTTCTATTTCTGCTTCTCAATGTCGTATTTGTAAATTTGTAAATATTTTGTTTGATTTTTTTTTCTTATTTTCTTAATTTTATAATTGCATATTATTATTTACTGATATTTTACTTCCTCTTCAAGTTGGAGAGAAGACACTGTTCCAATCATCTTACTACTCCTTAAAACTTCCTATTTGAAGGCTGGGAATATTTTAATTGATTCAAATGGTGCAGTCAAGCTAGCTGATTTTGGAGTGTCAGCATGTATCTTTGACACTGGAGATAGACAACGTTCAAGAAATACTTTTGTGGGAACTCCTTGCTGGTGTGTGTGTTTTACTTTTAACATGCAACTCATTAATGATGTCAAAGGCTCTTCAGCCATTTTTTATTGGTCCAAAGTATTAGTGGTCATCATATGAACTTGAATATTTTGTTTGTTCTTTTTACCCCCTATTTGTTTCAGGATGGCTCCTGAAGTTATGCAGCAATTTCATGGATATGACTTCAAGTGAGTAATTTCTTATCAGATAGTTGTTGCTGAAGTTTTATATTTTCCTTTTTACTTTCACTTTTCACTTTTCACTTTGTAGCTTCAAGGGAGGTGGATCTTGATTCCCCCAAGACTACTTATGTGACTTCCTTTACCGCATTAACAGGGCAGACATCTGGTCATTTGGAATAACAGCACTTGAACTTGCTCATGGACATGCCCCATTTTCCAAGTATCCACCTATGAAGGTAATTATAAGATTTAGATTGAGTTTCCTATGTAGTGAATGTAATTACTGCTACTCAGTGTCTAAATTTATAATCTGCTGTTGCAGGTTTTGCTGATGACCTTACAAAGTGCACCTCCTGGTCTTCATTATGAACGAGATAAGAGATTCTCAAAGGTTTTGTTTCCAGTTTCAAACATCTATTGATCTGTGAATCTTTGACTTTTTCAATTAAAGAGCTTATTTGCAGTCATTTAAAGAAATGGTAGCTGCATGCTTAGTGAAGGATCCAAAAAAACGTCCCGAAGCAGAGAAGCTTCTGAAGCATCCATTTTTTAAACAAGGACACCCAAATGAATATCTTGTTCGAACTCTTCTTAGTGGTCTTCCTTCTCTAGAGGATCGCTTCAAGATGTTAAAGGTCTGTATCTCAGCCTAGGCTTTCCTTTCCAGCCCATAAACTGTTAAACACTTCATTCAATCATGCCATCATTTATATTGCTTGAACTATTTTCTAGGCAAAAGAGGCTGAACTTCTTGGGCAGAACGAGACACTATATGGTGATAAAGAGCAACTGTCACAGGTTTTATTTTATTTTTTTTCTCTTTGGTTAAATTAGCCAGATGTTTAATTATACTATATTCAACCATGCTATGTGGAAAAGGATTTCTAGTGCTTGCTTGTCGTTTTATTTGCTTTTTTAAATTGTTTGTTTGATGCTATAGTTCACTTCCTTGTTACTTAGTGTAAATGCTCTCTACTTTCCCACTATTATTGCTATTATTCTCTTTTATCCAATTGGAGAAGTTTTTTGTAACTCCTTTGGATTGGAGTTCTCCGTCTCCCCTTTTTTCGTAATTTGATGTTATCAATGAAATTATTCTCTTTTATTGTAGAAGTTTTTTGTAACTTCTTTGAATTGGAGTTCTCCGTCTCCCCTCTTTTTGTAATTTCATGTTATCAATGAAAAAAAAATTCACTACAATCATAAGAATTATGAGAAGAAATAGATGTCTTTTTGAACTTGTTTTTCCCCCTTATGTAAAGAAATAAAGAGATGTATTAATTCAAATGAGGAGTATAAAATGGGAGGAAGAAGAAATCTCACAATTGGTCAATTAACTTGAATATTGAAAGAAAAGTATTTAAGCTCTTAGAAAGAGTACACCGTCCAAGAAACCAAAAAACCATCTACCTGAAGTCTCCTCCTGAGTAGAGAAATTGCATAAAAAGTTTGGCTATTTTTTCCCAACCAAATATCCCAAACAAGCACACCCACCGAAAGCCTCAAAGGGTCTTATTGTATCAAGGAAGCCCGTATCCAGGACACCATGCACGAAGAACTCTTCAAACGAGGGGGTGCCAAGCCGCATTGGTGGTTTGAAAACTTGTGTTCATGATGTCGAAGCAAAGGAACAAGTAATAAAGAATTTATCTCACTTGAGGATAGTTTTAAGCATATTTGCATAGCATGTACAGTACCTACTCCAGACTTGAGCAGCTTAGGTTGAGCTTCTCATTCTTCGTTGGGCATTCAATATCATCAGTGTGATATGAAGAGCAAAGTTATAGACCTTTTGAGCTTCTACTATTTTGAGGTGTTTAAAAATTTTGATGGCGTCAGTTCCATTTTATTTCAAAGATCTGCATGTTCTTGTGATCACATTCATGTCAACCTGTTGCCATGTGATTATGCTTGTTTAACTGTTTAACGTTGCCTTTCCCATCGCATTCCACGATTAGTCCATAGGGGAACAAGAAAGAGTTGATGCATCAATTAAATCTATAACTGGGTCAGTCAAGTTCACATTTCCTTTCCATCTTGCATTGATTCAGATAATAACTATTGACTCGGTTCTTTACTTCCATATCCTTCCTAACTCAATCATGTCCTGAATGATTTCTTTTGTTGTCATGCAGAAAGAGTATGTTAGAGGAGTGAGTGCCTGGAACTTCAACCTTGATGATTTGAAAAGTCAGGCTGCTCTTGTAAGTAATCTGCTTCTAGATAGCAACTGCCCTCTCTCTACTTCATGCCGACTAATTTTATGTTTGATTTGGATGAAGTTGTGTTCTGTGTTTCAACATTATACCAGCATATTCAGGATGATACAATTGTTAAGGAAAAGGACGTGGGAGTAAATGAAAGACAAGAAGATGAAAAGGAATTTGGTTTACATGCAGAAAGGACATCGGCGGAAAAACTGAGCTGTTCCAATCCTACACCCAGCTGTGAGGTATTATTACCAAAATCCCTGTTCTCTTTGATATGAATCTTTATTTGCAGTAGCGGACATGTAGAATTAGAAGACCCAATTTATAATTTATTGAATAAGATTATTAATTATTGAGTGCTTTATATTTATATTTTTTTTAAAAGAAATTATTTATGTAATTGTAGCATTAAATTCTAATATTTGCCACAATTTTTTACCAAAAAAGAAAAACGAAAAAAAGAAAATAAAAGAAAACTGTATGCCTGCCATGCTTATATGCTGTACTAGCTTGGATAGTATCATTTCAGTGGTTGAACTTTCGAATCATTCAACTAGTTACCCCCTTTTTGTTGTGACAGGGTGTGAGTGATCTTCGTTCTTTAGAGAGTTTTCCTGCTTCGCTTCGTACCAGGCCTATTGGAGCGACAAAGTATGTTTTTCTCTCTATCTTCATTTTGATTATTATACTTCAGAATCAACCACTGTAATATGACGTAGACGTTAGTCAAGGAGATATCATTTCATACTTTACAAACTCATTATGTTCAATACTATGAGAAATATTACCTATGTGGCAGTATTAAGCACAACAGTTTTCAGTTACTGTGCTCAACTGTACATTTGAATGCAGTAATGGCGATGAAATTTTCGAGGAAGATATGAACAGAGCTAATCGAAGAAAGGACGATATAAACAGAACTAATCCAAGAGTGGTGGATCAAGAATTTAGAACCAAAGGTGAGATTTCAGAACGAAATATTTCTTTGACGGCATTTTGTCACAGCTTGGCATTAATTTTAATTTGTTTTCTACTTCCAGATATAATGCTCTTGTTGAATTTGATATTCTGGTCCATGATACTAATCCCCGACCCCTGTYAGTGGAAGGGGATGATGAATCAATTTTCTACATTACCTGTGCCTATGTATGTACCGTGTGTACAAAATAATGTTTTTTCTTAATATTAAAAATACGGGAAGCCTTACGCTGTGCTCTGGTGCTGTTAGGGGGTATGGTTTATGTGGAATAGTTTTTTTTGAATAATTTCATAAAGCGATGTTTGAAAAAGGATTCCTACACTATTCATAGGCTAGTTTCCGCTTATTCCTATTGTTCTTGGTCCATGATTTTTAGTTGTTGAGAAAATTCTCAAGTTAATAAAAAAATCACTATTCAAACAGGTTTTCTTTATTAAAAGAATGAAATTTTGTCTTAAAAATTCAAGACGAGCCATAAATGTTACCTTGTTGGTTGTTTTACCGTTATGGAAAATATTAACTATTCATCTATAATGTATTTAAAGAGACATATGTAATGTAGTTATGGTAAAGAAACAAAGGGAAAAGAACTTGGATGCCTAAAATTTCTCTGAAGGGGTCATTCACTATTGAAGTATCTATTTTAGCAGAATAATAACAGTTCAATGTTGTAGAGAGATGAAAAGAATCTTTTATGGTATTTTGGCTGGTCCTTGCTCTGTCCCCCAACTACTCGTTCCGGTTTCAATTTAATGGTTAATTGTGTATACAGTAAATTATACATCAAATGGTGCTGCTGCTCAGCTAAAAGAACACTCTAAAGCTTCTTCAGCCGGACTTGGAAGAAAGGTGTGTGCTGCAACAAATGTTCGCTATTTATTTAGATCAATTTAGCTAATTGGCCTAGTGATGCTACTCTAACGTAACTCAGAGAAGGTGCTCTCACTATTCCTTCAATGTGTTTAATTATATTACATGGGCATTGTATTACTATGTTAATATGCTCAACCTAAAAAGCGAAATTAAATAACATGTAGACATTTATGAATTAAATTGTGTTTAACAGAATGAAGGCTCTACATTTCTGGTAATAATTAAATGTAAAATTTATGGTTCAAAACTTAAATGAAGTGTAAAGTTTACTTCGTCGTCTGTATTGCTCTTCTTATTTAATATTTCAATCCAGCATCTTCGGAGTCAGAAGTTAAATTTGGTATATGGTGCAGCTTTGATGTGTCTGCCTATTAATATTGTTGCGCTCACACTTTATCAACTCTCGTTTTAATCTTTACTTTTTAAGAGCTTTTTTCATTTTTTATATACCACCTCAGTATTTGCATCTAAAAGATCAGAAACTTTCAACACAATCTCAATTTTCTTCTACATTAAATTTAAAGCCAAATACGAAGTATCTTTCCATATTAAAGAATGGAACTTGGCATGGGATTGTAACCACTGCCATCTTTTTCTGATACTCAGGATCCTACGAGCAGCTTGTGTACTGCAGTTTCTGGAAGTTTGACCAGTCCATTCACCACAAACCTCTCAGCTTCCTCACTTATCCCATCACTGCACTGCATTTTGCAGCAGAATGAGTTGCAGAGGGTCTGTGGTGTTCATAAATTATTTTCTTACTTTGAAAAGGAATTATGTCATAATGCTTTTTTCTCTTCAATAAATGTTGGCAGGAAGAAATTATAAAGTCAATCAAGTATCTGGAACAAATCTCTGGTAGCTTTCATTTCTATTTCCTTCTTTCCATCTAAACCCCTATGATATAATTTGGCTCAATTTGACTCTTTAAGTTGATGCAGGCATGTACAAAGAGTCAGCTGAAGAGAGTATGAACGACTTCATGCAGGTACGATCTCTTTGGGTGTGTCATTTATAAACAAATTTTACATATTTTGATCATTTTATGCCCAAAAATTTGTTCAGTTCGTTAACAGGACAGCAGTTTATCAAATTATCATATATTTTTACAATGTGCAGACACTTCCAACACCAGCATCCTCCAGAGAGAGAGAATTATGGTCTCAAGCGATTCATCTGCATCAGAGGTATTGTAAAAGGCCAGTGATTACTGACTATGGAATTTCCCTCTTTCTCATCACTGGAATGAAACTTATTTCGAATGTCAGTGTCAGCACACTTGCGGAGGAATTATCTAAACAGAGGCTAAAAAATGCTCAGGTATGCCATTTCCCTTAATTGAAAAGTCAAGTTTCCTTTGACGAGTTCTAAATTTGTGTACATTTCAAGATGTGCTTGATATGACTTTTGAAATAGCGGAAGTGTTTCTAACCAATTAAAAGTGGTTACATATTCGAAAACTCAATCTTTAAAGTCCCCAACACGTTTTAAAGGAGTTTAAAATGTTTTTAGACAAACCACTTAATTAGTATTATTTGTATCTGTCACGTTCAAGCTGGGATTTCAAAATATGCTCATTCTCTTTGAGAAATCAAATTTTCTGGACGGATGGCTGTGGTTGTTCAATATCATCCTGGGATAGCCATATTATGTAGAACATATTTCTGCAAATTATTAATCATGTCGCAGACCAACTTGTTTAGGGAAAAGATGATACTAAAATTATACATTGTTAGAAGTAGAATAAAATAAGATTTACGGATTTTGTAGGTCGCAGTATAAGGCTTTTTGTGTAGATTTCAGAAGCAATCATTGGATTTAGGTCTAGAGTGGATAAATACCATAGATAAAAGAGATCTAATCTAATCTTAACAATTTGCACTTAGAATTATTTTGAGCATATTTCATTCCATGCAAGAAATAATGTTACAGGACAAAAATTGTGTTTTTTTTTTCAACGTGAACATAGTTTAGTGATTAAGATATCTTGCTCTTTTCTTGAGGTTGGAAGCTCAAACCCCCCACCCCAAAAAGAAAAATAGTGTTTTTGTTTTTAATTTTTTATTAGTTTTCTAGAGGGAGAGAAAAAAATGTGTTTTCTGAGACATTTTATATGAAATTTATGAGAAAAAGATAATAACAATAGCAATTTCATTGCCATTTGAAAAATAAAAAACGTGTAGAAGAAACCAAAACTTTCTGTTTCATGCACTAAAATTTTGGGAAACGATTTAAAAAAATAAGATAGAAAGAAACATGAGATATTACTGTTTGTTCTATAATCGCTGGGTTTGTATTTTGGATTTGCAGTTGGAAAGAAAATTGAATGCCTTGGCACGCAAAGAGGAAGTATTATGAATGGCATACATACATGGCTTGATGACAAGAATACGTCCCACGTGCGACTATAGAGGTAACTTCTATATATTCCACTGCTTGAATTTGAATCATGCAAAGGAAGACACCAATAAATTAGGCTCAATCTCACTGACTTTGTAACTTAATAAAGTACTCTCCCTCACCAACTATGCAAGAGCATTTTTGGAAGGGATTTTGTAGTCAGAATTGTCTTTTTAAAGATAATAATTAAAAAAAGATCATTCATGACTAGATTGAACTAAAAGCCACAAAGTTTCCCTTTGAATGTCAACAAGAAGTAAAACATCGAAGAGTTCTCTTTTGCTTCACTAGTATACTATAAATCAATTGATGAACCAAAAAACAATTAATGAAGCTTTCATTTTAATCCTGATTTCAGGTGTGTCATGAGGCATAGGAGGTCTGGTGTACTTGAACGTGTAATGTGGCTGCTACGGCTATGTTCGACTGGACAGTGACTTGATTATAAGTTCGATTGGTCAGTACATGGTTTGGAAACACTTGAACTTGACCTTGACCATGACTCTGCTCTATCTCTAATGCATACACTACATTTTTTATGAGGTTAGGAAATAACAATAGGTTCGAGAAATCAACCGTCCAAGTTGTCCCATTTGCCCATATAGATCCCCGCCCCACCGTGGTTTTAACCTCCATCCCACGCACATTATTCCTATCTATCACCACTTGATCAATTCTGGTGAAGGGAGTCTTGGATTCATCCAACTCAACTATTTTCACCCCTGTATAATCTCCCGAGAACATGTTATCAACAATATTGACTCCACTCGCTACTCCGCCCACCGATTTCAGTACCACCAATGCATTTCCCAGGAAGAAGCATCCTGTTATATGCACTTGAACTGGATCCTCAACCACCACTCCTGTATAATCCAAGTAGCAATTCACTATCCTTGTTTGTGTGAAACCAGGCGCCCCTACATAAATTCCAATCCCTCCCAATCCTCTAGCCTTGTTGTAACAGTGTACTCCTGTTATCACATTTGCTTGTCCCAATACCATCACTCCAATCTCTGCTGAATATATCACTAAGTCCCTCAATGCGTTGTCGTTTCCCATTACTTTCACTCCAATTCCTGAGAAGTGCTTTTCCCCTTGGTCTCCTCCCACGTTGATGTGCTGCCCAATGAAACAGTTCCTTATGTAGCTCTCATGCCCTCTTTCAATCACTATCCCCTCGCTTTTGAAGTGTGATATGTAACAGTTGTCTACTGTTGTTCTTATTGAGTTGATTATGGCTATTCCACCTCCTCTGAAATTGCAGTTTAACATTAGGTCCTTGAGTGTGATGTATTCATACATCACGGAAGGTGATGGCGACCTTAGTTCTATAAGATGGCGGTCGCTTGGAAAAGAATCTGATGCGCGTAATGATCCTCCGTGTATCTGTCCACGTAAATGCATTCTCATTATATTGCATCTGATCCATCCATCGATCTCATTTGAACCATTTTATAGAGGCTAAATTAGGAAAAATACTCTTAAACTTTTCCATTTGTAAGTGTACCCTTATTCTTTTAAAAGTTTCAAATACTACACTTAATCTTTCATAAACATTCCATTAATATTTTGAACGGAAATCTAACGCAACARAATCTAGAACAATGTGGCAATTAACGTTCTAATTTTGTCCTAAAAATCTTCTTCCTCCATTGTCGAGAGAGTTTGCTTCTCCATTGTTTACCCAATTTTGTGCTAATCCTCCTTTTAAAAACGATAGCTTCTTCCATATTTTTTTCTCTTTTCAAACTTAATCTAGGCAAGCTTCCACATTAATTGCCTTGTAGTTTTAGATTTTGTCACGTCAACTTTCCATTCAAAATATGATATGAATGGATGTTTGCTTTTATGGTATTTTTTAAACCTTTATGAAATAGTATTGAAATGGTTTTGAAAGGATGGACAAGCGGAGGGGTAATTATTTTTGTAATCTAGCCTTTTAAAGAAAGTAGAAGAGAAGAGATGGGAGTATTATGTAATAGGTACCATGAAATTTCCAGCGGGGATGTCCGGTAAGCGCAAGGGTCGGCTGATCTTGTAAGTCCCTCCGTCTAGGTGAAGTTGAGAACCTCCAAGGTCTACAATGCCTTCCATCAAATGAGCATCCGTGGGATACCGAAATGTGTCGGAGATGGCTTTCTCCAGCGCCTCGGTGCTGTCGGATTCCCCGGTGGGATCAGCTCCATAGGCAACCACGTGGTAAACACGTGATCCCGATATTGCCTTCACAGTTAATATGGTTAGACAAATCCAATTCTCAAATTCTCAAATATCATGTTAGAAAGAGGTAGAGGTAGAGAGAGAGAGATACCGGGAGATCAGACTGAGAAGGAGAGGCAGAAGAGAGGGCATTGTGTAGATAGTTGTTGAGACGCGATGGGTTGAGGCGTGGCATGAAGTGATCTTCATAAGAAGTGGAATATGAGCTCTCACACACAATCACAAATGCACTGATAAAAGTTGCATAAACAAAGCCTGAGAAGGGCCTGGAAGTTGCATAGTTTCTGGGTTTCATTTTTCTCTCTCTCTCACTAATTAATTAAATAGCAGTGAGATTAAATGAATTAGAAGGCGTGCTCTGTGTTTATATGAATTGAGATGGAGGGGAGGACAATGAGCTGTGGGCGGCTGGTCTTAATTTCCAAGCGGTCAAAGATAAGACTGGAAAAGTTGCAGTCAGGTGTGTATTGGTCCATGGTTGGTTTGTTGGTACTTTCGACTGAAGAAGTATAGACATGGACATGGAAACGCGTCAATTTTTAAAGTATAGGACGAGACACATTGAGGACATATTATTTTCTAAAAGAAATTTTTTTGATGATGTGTGTACGTATTGATGTAGTAATATTAGAGGGAGGGAGGAGCAACTGGGGTGGGGAGCAATTTTATGAGAATAGTTCTCACGTGTTAGTTTTTTTTTATTTATTTAAAATTCTAATTTTTTTTATTTCACTTTTTTCTAAGGGGGTTTTAAAGTGCTTAATCACTTAATGAGTTGGCGAGCTAGAATTTTTGTTTTTCATTTGATTTCTTTTAAGTGGAATTATATATATTTTTTTAATTTCACCATAAATTTGATCGGGTGTCTATGTGGCGTGTCCGAAAAAAAGGGTAATATTATTATGTACGGCGATTTAAAATAGATAGTTTTAAAAAATGATCAAACAATTTTCACTTTTGAAAAATGACCAGCTTAAAAAGAGAACTTCTACTAAATTCATGCCATGGATGTAGTTATGTATTTTTTTTAGTACAACAATTTGGAGATATGAGAGATCGAACTTTCGATCTCAAAGGAAAAAGTATGTCTATTATCGTTGAATTATGTTYATGTTGGCATAAAGTTATGATTTAGTCGTTATAACTAGCGTCTTTATAATTTGGTTATATCTCTTACTAACTGTTACCAAACACATGAGCAATTTTGTTCCGTTTGATGTTTTCATTGGACTAGGTGATGAATCAATATTCAATATTAGGTAGTTGTGAAGGTTAAATTGGCTGGCTATAGTATTAGCTGATTCAACCCATCTGTCAATCTATGTTTTACTCTATTCAAACTTTAGACATCTCATACTCAAATATGTCATATCATCCTCTCTCTCCACTTTTCTAAAAATGTGTTGCATGAGAAAAATATTCACATCTAGATGAGGAACCTTTCAATATCAACTCATTTTTCTCTTTTGCAAACGTGGGTATAGCTTAAGAATAATGCTGTAATGGAATATAACTCATTCTCTTAAAGTTCAAATTTTTATACCTCACGTTTGTTGTATTGAGAAAAAAAAATTCATCTTTTTTTCTTTAACACATCCTTGCAAAAATCGTTCATGTTCATGGCTAGTAATGATAGGATGTTTTATGCGATTTAGTCAAACTAAAAGCAAGTGAGGTGTATGTGAAATTTCATAGTTTTATTTTAAAGTATGAAAAACTTAAAAGTTAATTAAATAGTTAAAAATTTTAATGTAATTGGGTTCTTTTATCTCTCACTATTTATCTCACTAAGTTTTTTTTTTATATATTTTCCATGTTTATCTTATAAAATTGACGTTTCAATAATTCTCATCATCACTAATCCGGTTGATGTGACTAAAAAAAACTGATACGTGTCAATTACTTGAAAATTTTCCATAAGTAAAATACAAGAAAAAATAAACAACTTAAAACAAATTCCTCAATTATTTGAATTTTTTTTCCAAAAAAAAAACCATATTCATGGATTTTTCATTTTTTCCCTAAACATAGATGCATAAAAAGAAATAAATCTTTGTTTTGATTTCTTATTTAAGTCGTTGAATGGGGAAAAAATGCAAGTATAAAAAAAATGCAAGTATGTCAATTTTGTAAGTTTTTTTTGAATAAATTACTTATATATTGTAGGTAGAAAAACTAAAAGTTAAATATTAGATCAAACAGTCTAACTAAAATATCTGAAAACACTAAAGGAGTAAAACATACCTAAGATAAATAGTTACAAAATTTTTGAAATTCATTATTAATTATAATTAAAAATAAGTTATAATTTTGTAAGTTAATTCATAAAAAAAAAGAAACAAAATTATACGTATTCTAACTCTTTAGATTCCAATATTTGACATGATTAAATAACAAAAATAAAGTTTTAAGAAAAAAAGAAATTGGAGAGAGTGGCATGCGAGAATGATATGGTTSTCCGGTAGTCCCTTTTATATATAGGATAAATTATACTATATGTATAGTATAAATTATAAAGATTAATGGTGTTTTCATACCTTATTATTTTCAGTGACTTCAAACCTTGACGGATTTTAATAAATTTCGTGGTTTATTATCACATGAAATAGTGGTAGGTACAACATTTTTCTGACCAAAATAATTAGAATTGGTCGGATGTCGTATAATTTCAAAGTAAATTACTTATTTAACTTTGTCATACTTTAATTTTTAATTAATAAAAATTTAGATTAAAAAGTTAAATCATTAAAGTTGTTTATTTTCTTTTTCTTTCAAATGAACACACGAATAATAAAATTTAATTACATTCATCTCAAATTATTTTCATTTCAAACATGATAAATGATTTAAAATTATAAAAATCAAAGTTAAAATTAAGAGCAAATAATTCAACCCTTTCTGTTATTGCCTCGAGAGAAAGAGGGAAGATTGAGTTTTGTTTTCCAAAGTTAGGTCACAGCCGCCGACCTTGTTTTTCATACGAATCTTCCTTTTTTAAATATTCAAATTTTCTCTGTTTTTATTTTTCTCATCAACCACGTCCCTCTCTCTCTTGCTTTTTCTAGTAATTGATTCAGCTATCTCAATACAAATTTTCAATCCACAGTAACCAGCTAACAATTTTTTTTTATTTGAACATGCATTCACATTTAATTCATTTGAAAATTAAACACAATATGTGTGTATGATGTATGGTATTAAACATCTGTCAATACATCGATATTTTTATGTATGCATGAATTCGATCGACATTTCCATCCTATTATAAAAAAGATTGACAAAAATTTTAAAAATATCAACAAAATGTCATTAATATATACATAATATTAATATTAATCAATTTTAACTTATTTAGAAATAAGAAAATGTTTATTTGTTAATTTAAATACTTTTTACAATTTTTTAATTTTTCTAATTTGACAGAAATATCTACCGACATCGACATTTTATTGATATTTTTCATGAAATTGTGACCTCAACATTTATATTAATATCAACATTTAAAACTTTGAATATGTGGATCTTTTTTTTTTTAATTTTCTTGGAGGGTTGGAAATTAAGACTTAGGCAATTCCACACGTAATTTCTATTTTTGAAAATTTAGTTCCATTGATTAATATGAGTTAAAATGACCCATCCAATTTTAATGTTAAACTACCCTTTTGTTATCTTAATTTTATTTTATTTTGGCCATTGTACTCTCAAAACATATATTGTTTAATATACTTTCAATTTTGTTTATTTTGATCTTTTGGCCATTTTAGTTTGAAAAAAAAAACTATTTTAGTCTTGATCTCACTTATTTCAAAATTTCTAAATATGCATTCATGAATTTATATTAAAGAGTTTCTATTTTTATATAAATTTTTTGTTAAAATTTTGTAAAGAAGGAATAAAGTGATCACGATTTAAAAGTATAGGAATGAAAATAAACATTTGAAAAGTATATTGACTAACATGAGAAAAGTTAATGGAAGTATAGAGATCACTGAAATAAACTAAAGTAAATCACCAAAATAGCATTTGTATTTAAGTCTTTTCTTTTTTGAAAATTTGGTTTTATAMATTAATGTGTTAAATGACAATGTTAATTCATATGACTTATGTTTAGTTTAAATTTGCTTGGTATGATTTTATCAAATTCTTCCAAAATGTTTTAGTTTTCTCACGTGGTACATGTTATTTTTCGAGAGAGGCAATGAACTAACTAAGGGTATGTTTGGGAGTGATAGTAGAATTAGTAATTTCTTGAAAAGAGATTTAAGTATAATTGATTTTCCAAAATCACAATCTAAATGATAGCTTAAAAATAAATTAAACGTATTTTAAATTTTCTTAAAATCAATTTTTTAATTTGTCTAACATGATAAATGAAAAAGGAAGTGATTTTGACAAAAGTGATTTTCGTCATGCCAATATCACTTGGAATACAGTAAGGTATCACTTTTCGGGTGATTTTGGAAAAAATGAAGTGTTTGAGTGTGATTTTGGCATGGTCCCAAACACACTATAAGATTAGTTTGAATTATACTTAAATCTCTTTTTTCAAAATTACTAATTCTACCGTCACTCTCCAACACATACTAAGATTAGTTTCAATTTTCTAAATTGAAAGTTGAACCAATGTCATTGGTATGGTGTAATATTGGGCAATCGGATCAATGTCCATGGTCCAAAAAAACTAATTTCCAAAATGGTCTCAATATTTTCGGTTCGATTCGCATATATAGATTGGGAAAAAAAACCCATAATCGTAACAATAGTTTTTGGAAAAAACTTGGCTCCTAGTTCATGATCCTCACATTAATAACACGTAAACATGTGTTGAATTTTTATTTTTTATTTTTTTATAATGTAATTAAGATTCAATATCTCAAAAAAAAATAAAAATAAAAATAAAACTCTTGTTTTTCTCCTTCCCTTTCTTCTCTCCCAGCAATGTCTCACGTACCCAAGCTTACATAATCACACATGCCAATTTAAGGGCTGCATCATGTCCAAGATAGCTCCATTCAGTCTTGTTTTTTAGCCTTTTTTTTTTTATAATTATTTCTCATTTTCTCATCTTTTAAATAGAATACTACCATCTATTTTCAACAATTTAATTAAATTTTGAAGTCCATGGTAACGACACAAGAAAGACATCTCATAATCCAGAATAAACGATGACTAATTTAATTACTTTTTACCACTCAATTTAGTTGAACTATTAAAATTAGATTGTGTTATTTAATTCAAAAGAGGAGGGAAAAAGATAAATGAAAAGATAACTTAAAAACAAAGTTCAAACAAACTAGATAGAGTTTTAGAACATTACTTTCTGACTTGAAATATTACAAGTGTTTATGATAGAATGGACTGCTAATTGATTTTGAGATGGAATCCATGAATATTAATAGCTAGGGAAGGTAACCGGTGGTTAAGTGGTTTATCCAATTAGCTATGCTTATGATAGAAACTACTTTCAGATTGACAATTAGATAGAAGTCTAAGTTCAAACTTTTAAAATTTTGATGTGACATATAGATAGATGAGTTAACCTTGGAAATGAAACATTTCATATAATAAAAGCTAAGAATGTTTAATTAATTAATCTA